CTCCTGATTGGGATTGACACACGAACCCAGCGGACAGATGTGGATGGATTTCTCGATGTTCTAAACAGATGTGGGTGGGTTACTCCATGTTCTAGACAGACGACCGACGACAAGGCTCTAGTCTCAGCACTGTTTAAGTAATGATCAAATACGTTATCATTTTTCACTAAACATTTCACCCACACGTAATAAAATGAATCAATCCACGTTGCACAGAATGCATTGTAAAACATTACACATTAAGTGCCATTAATTTGCACCTTGTTTTAGAAATAATCCTACCACTATCGATCGACATGCGGTTTTCGCCAACAGATTCTTTAAATTATTCTCAAGATCATGACGCCCTTCGTTTTTTCACTTTTGAGACAGTTTTGCTTTGAAAAGCTAAATTTCTTTGTTTCGCCGATCGCTTTTGAAGGCCGACGCTTCTGTCTCTGTAATTTTAGAAAATCCGCTGCGGAAGCGATATTTCGCGAGGCGCATTTTGTTTTGAGAGTATATATCTTGATCTTCTATTTTTTTTCATCTCTCAAGATTTAATGCTCCGTTCCAGTAGATTGTAAATAACATTTTTGGCCAATGACTTTCAGTTAATGATAATGCACCGATCATTCCTTTCATCGAAAGGGGGCCCAGCTAGTGTGGTATAAGACAACAAATTGACAAACTCAAATGATGCTCCAAAACGTATCATTAGAGTACAAATTTAAGGTGACCAGCAGAAAGGAGACATGGCGCAACTCCTTTTTCTTTATAATAGAAGCCAAATTAAAAGAAAAAGAAATCTCGATGCCTTTAAAAGCGTTTAACTGTGTTGTGTTCTTCGAGGTATCACTCCCGACATCTGTCACTGACAATGAAGACCAGTGGACTTTTGTGGCGTGTTAGTTTTGGGAAATTCAAGCAAAGTAATCGGCAAAACATGACGCTCTAGGGCAACTGTTTATTCGTTCTAAACAGAAATAATTCCACGAATTCTACAAACTAAAGCACATCCACAAAAAAAAGCTTCAGTCAAGGTATAGGTTTATGAAATCAAGCAAATCATTGCAACAATTCTTACAACTAAAACCACTGGGGAACATCGATCTATTACTTAAAAACAACAAAACGTTCATAGAAACATAATCTGACGGTAAACTAAAACAACAACTCGGGGAAGGAGAGGCAGGACCGATCACATAGCTCACCAAATCAGAGACATTGCATGAGCGTTATTATAAACAAGAAAACAAAATATTTGAAACTGTCGCAGTGTATGACAATAAGAATACGAACTAGGGCCCTCGAGAACTTCTTATATTTGTGTGTACATATATGCATATTATAAGTATTATGTTTTATATATGTTATATATATACATTATGGCATTTATATATCATATATATAACATAAAACATATATGTACATATAAATATAAATATATATATATATAATATACATTATATACCATATATATTACATACATTATATAATATATATATATATATATATATATATATATATATATATATATATACAGATATATAACATAATATTATATATATATATGTATATATATACGTATATAATATATATATATATATATATATATATATATATATATATATATATTATATATATATATACGTATATAATTTATATGCATATCTGTATATACAGATACCATCACTATACATAAACATAATATATACACAAAGCCTACACAATGTGCTCAATGGTATTGACGCACAAACGGGTCAGGCAATCGAAAAACGGAGCGTTTGGGAAAGAAATCGTTTGAAGGCAGGTTCACTACATCACAGCAACGGCAGAATGAGACTCCAATCAGTTTTTAGGTATTGTAGAAAGTAAAAAAAAAAAACGAGGGGTGGGGATGGGATGTCGCAATATGAGAGCGTAACATATGGACATGGGAACACAGTGAATTTCCTCGCCATTTGTCATCAAATAATAATATTAAGATGGTATAACAATTTTTTTAAAACAAACAAAACGTCAGCAAATATTTTGAAATGTTGAGATATTTCAATTTACTGAATAACGTGTTGTTGCATTGCAAAGAGAACATTGGATAAAAACAAACAAAGTAAAGCTTAACCTCCCCCTGCCTGCTTGATCGTATGCGCAACATCAGAGGTCAACGTAGGGTTTACAGTCGAGATTTGTCAGTGGGTTGTGATTACTGTCATGCGCTCAGAACAGAGAGGTGGAGCATTCTTTTCTTTCATCAGAACTTCTGTAGCGATGAGTAATAAAACAGGGTGATTTTTTCATCACCTCTCTTCTATGCTAGGGCAATGCCTAATATTTTTTTTTTGTTCTGTATACCTCAGGATTCCACATCTTTGTAGGTCAACAACGTAACTGAAGCGAGAGCTTACTATGTCTATAAGGCAGTAAAACACTGGCCATACCATACCATATCCTACCATAGCATACCATAACCTACCATACCATACCATACTACATCATACCCTACCATGACATATCCCCATACCATGAAGCTGAGTTTTGAAGAAAAAACAACCAAAAACATTGCAGCAACCTCTAAATCCTCAACCTGCTGTTTAGATGTACATGTGTGTTTATTTCTTTTGTTAAAAAAACCAATCCAGTTTCTTAATGTGTTGTATCGGTTTCAAACGCTCAATTTTCAAAAAAATGCTTAAATTAGAATTTTTAAAGATGGAAAAAAGTATATTGCATAATGAATAAAACAGTTGTTTTTGTTCCCTCTGTCCTGAAAAAAATGTGGGTGCTTAGTCGATCTGAACAGCCTGCATAGGCTAATATGCTATTACATTTTAGGATTCCGTTCTGGTGTACCAAACTGAAAAAAGCAGAGCGGTCACGTTGAGAGTACAGGACTAGGAGATAACAGGACACATATTGTCAGTGAGAACATTCCGCCCGGCACAAGGGTCAGCCAGTAGGTAACAAGAAATGTGGCCCGCGGATAGTAGATAAAAACGCAGTTGTCCTTCTCTAAAAGTAAAATGTAGTTACCTGCCCAGATGGAAACGAGAGATCTAATATTATAATATCTCATAAAATTCCCCTGAATAACATAATGCTGCAGTGTCCGTGTTAGCCTCATGTTTGAGAGCTTGGGTATTTCACCCATTGTTCTCTTGATATTCAGAATCGCTGAATTCGGCTTGCGATTTAAGCACTCTTTCCCATGATATCATTTTATAAAACGTATGATTTTCATGTGGAACCCTGCAGATGAACAGTATATGCAACGCATGAGCCCAGGGGATACATATGTCTGAATTTGGCTTTTTAATGTTATTGTAGTTTTGTTTGTCTATTCAACAGCGAGATACGTCACTTTTCTGTACATCAATCAGACTAGACATGCCATTGCTATTTGCCCAGGAAAGAGAGGCTCCATGTAATGCTTCCGAGCATTGGACATTCGTCTTTATCACGCAAGGATTATTTCGCAATTTTAGCTAGTCGCATGTGCTCTGACATTATCACGTTCCCCCACTGAGCGAAATTTAAACAGATCTTCTTTCGACAGATTTTTCGAAATTTTAGACGTATTTTCAGAGCTGAAATTGCAATTTTAGAAAGATCCATTGCGTCTAAATGCCTTCTTTCCTATTTCTTGTCAGTGCATTCGGCTTTTCTGAGCTGTAAAGCTTAATGGTTTCACACGAGGCTGTCATCCCAATGAAGCAAACAGGAGCAAAAGAACCGGCCACACGACGACGTGAACGTACGTGTGAGGAATGTCTTATTACCACAGATATTCTCCAGTTGTCGCTATACGTCTCAGAGCTGCAAATCTGAAACAGAGCGTTCTGTTGAGTTCTTTTAAAGGTAATACCCTTCACAGTTCATATTTAGGATCATAGCGTGATGTTATCAGGACGATATCTTTTACACGTCGTCCCGGCACTGGGATAAACCGATTGTCGCATTGACATTTTGACCTGTAATAACTTGAATTAAAAAAACCCTTCTCAATGAGTTAAGCTGTCAAGAGTATTAAAGGAACGATGCTTTCAAAAATTATAACAGAAACAAGTATGCGTGTCGCACCGTTATATTTTGATAGAACAAATCCGTCAAATTTGCCGAAATTTGAGTAAAAGAAAACTAATGTTTTTAGTAAAGTAAAATGTAGTCGCTCCAAGTAATGATGTTCTCGTTTTGTTCACCGACTGCGAACAGATAGATAAAAAAGGCAAACATTTTGACATGCTGTTCTGTTCTGAATGTATTTACAAAAGTGATGAAAGTCAAATACTGGGAGAGAGATAATTAAGAGTGTCTTTTCCGACTGGAACATGAGAGCATTCTATAAAAACATGGTGTATTGTCCCGGGCTGTTATTCATTATGTATTTTGTAAACCCTTACCCACTATCCCCCCGCGGAAGTAGTGCACAGAGCTTTGCAAAAGATGAACCCATCAGGTGATCATCACACATCTGGCTATGTTCAGGGATGCACGTCTCGGATATTGACCTTGTTACAGCTCAGACAGGCGCCAGTGTACTTGTTCGTGTACCTGAGAAAATTACAAGACACGTATACCCTGTTGCCGCCAACGACTCTATACATCTGACCCATCATTCTATAGACCGAGTTACTCAATACAGTCAGACCTGCTCTGACGGCCATCTTTAGACAATTGTGAGGCAGCGTGGTGGAATCATGCTTTCGTCAAAATAATAAAATCGACAAAATCTCTCTGCTTAGCAATTTTTTATAAATGTTTTGTTTTTTGGCTTCAATGTCCATTTACAAAAACATTCCTTTGAGGATTTCACCGAAAACGTTGATTTAAGGCACCAAAATATAAATTTACAGTTTCCATGGACTCTCCAGCTTTGGAATTTACAAAGCTTTGGCGGCCATTTTCTCCCTAATTTTACCTCTTAAACCAGGTGACACTCGCCTCCTTTAATCCAAAATATCTCCTCATCTATTGAAGATGGATGGGTAATTTTTTAAATTCTAAGCAAGACAAATGAACAAGCTTTAAGATGATACCAATAACTCTATAAGCTCAAAAATTGACGAGAGCCTGATTCCACCACGCTACCTCACAATCCTTTCACAAACAGTCACTTCCCACTACTGAACGCTCAGAATATTTTTCAACCTTATAATGACATGTCCAAAAGGTCGACCTGTCTAAGACAACATATTTTCTCCTCCACACTAGCTGGCCGTCTTGGACAGTTTCGACCTGCGGCGAGATGACGTCATCTTGTTTTGACGAAACAGTGTTTAGTTTTAGTTAAGTAAGGTTTTACGGCGCTCGCAACTGCATCATGTCATATGAACGCCAAGTGGTGGATGTCAACAGAGAAGTCCAAACGGGGAATCAGGCTTACTCTGCTCACCTCTCAGCCTCAACAGCGCAACTAGACAGGTATTTGGGAGTTTGGCGCCTGTTGGGTGTACCTCTATAAACCCGTGTGTATTTCTGTTACATATTCTGCTCTGATGTCACAGTTAGTTGCTTATGCCGTACGGGCAACGCCCAGAACGAGTGGGAGAAGCGGCAGTCTCGCAGTTCTCTCCCCAGGACCTCAGTGACGCGAGGCCGAAGGTGTTAGATGTAGCACTAGAGCTCCTGGCAGTGACGTCACGCGTATCAGACATGGAGGCTTTTTTGTCCTCAACCCCACGGCCGGCGCTTCGCCCACTCCCTCCCCCCCCCTCACCCGCATTACCATGAACAAGCTGAGATATTACCTCGACTCCCCCCGAGCTGTAGTATGTTAAACACCGTCCTGTCCCCAGCAAGTCAGTGCAAGCTTGCAGCAGATCTCCTCTCAAGATCACCAAGACGTCTCTTCGTCAGTCTCAAACAGTACTCATCTACCTAAAGTAAAATGTTCTGGTCCTCAACGATCTGCGTAACAGAGGGGGCATACGCATCGCTTCCTCCTTTCCATGGGTGACGTCATTGCCCAGAGCTCTATTACTATATATATATATATATATATATATATATATATATATATATATATAATCTCTTTGCGCCAGGCAGTTCACTCCCTTTGGCGGCCTCAGTAACCCCACGATACTTCCTCCTCTATACGTCCTACACGAGACCTTGACCTTTGGAGGTTGGGTGAGGGACGGAGAGGAGAGTTGGGGGGAGTCGAGGGGAGTCCGGGGGAGACGGAGGGGGTAGGTGGGGGGAGGGGATCTGTAGGTTTCCATCAGGGGGTTTTGCGCTAAATCCCTTTAGTTCATGCAATAGAGTCCGGATCAGCGGCTTGTAAGTCCGGGTCTACCTCCTCTCTGTTGGGCTGACCCGTGAGGCTGTGACGGTCGTAGATAGGCATCTCCCGCAGGGAGAACTGTTGCTGGAATGGGCGCCTCTGTCTCGGGTTGGTGGTGCGCCGGAGACCCGTGAAGTCCGACAGGGGCCGGGCAAGGGGCATGCGCATCTCCGTCTTTTCCGGTCGGCTGGCGGCTGCGGCTGACGTCACCGATTTGGCGATGAGCTCTGGGAGGCTGTCAAGGTTGAGCTGTTGGGGGAACGAGGGGCGAGTAAAGAAGATTTAGTGAGATATGCTTGTATTAATATGAGGCGCACGAATATAACCCATCCAATCACCCGCTCCCCCCCCCCCCCCTTTTTTTTTTACTTAAAAAGGACTGGGCATATCTAAAAAGGGTGCAAACAGGACATTGTAAATGCACAAATATGTCTTGTTTTCTAGAAAGTAAACAGAAAGATAGCCACTAGACTATCGACGTCACTAATAATTAGGTTTTTTAATTTGACATCACTATTGGTAGTATGGGCCTTTGAAAGAACCTCTAAAAAATATCTAGCACAAAGAAAAAAAGGCTGACCCAGAACAAGTTCGAGTCTCATCTACTGTTTACATGTGACATAGACGAACCGGCTGGTATAGTAGTTGTGCACTTCGACATTACACTCTGAAAACATGCGTTCGATTTTGATTTTTTCTTGTTTTGGTTTATTTGTAATCCCCAGGTGTCTTTGCTTGATTGTTAGGACTTTGCCTCTGTTTCAATGTGTGTTGCCTTGACAGGTAGGGTGTTAGCAACCTACTTCCTAAATTATTTACACTGTGTCCACGGAGACGTTAAACATCTACAGTTTATATCATTGCACCAAGCTGAGTGTCTCTTCACCACACACAGTCTGTATAGCGACCTATATGCAGCATTCATTTAATGGTTTCATGGCAAACATACACTATATGCATGTAACATTATCCATTTACTACAGAGTTGCTAAAAATATAGAACAAAAGCGTATTATTTGAAAAATGAAAGAACAAATGGCAATATTATTATACTAGATCTAGATTTAGATGTCGAGGGAAACAGCGCCTTTTGGTTTGTTGTATTCTTTACTTTACTTTTATCTGCCGCTTATACCCTTTTGGGTGTCGCGGGAAGAAAGAGACGTCTCTCTGTCGCCAGCCGGAGAGCTTGGGTCAGGGGGATGCCGTGGGTGGTTAATGTTTCTCTAACTCCATCTATTCAGGTCTTTCTTGGTCGCCCTCTAGCCTTGTTGCCTTAAAAAAAAAATTTCTATGTAGACACGTTGTGCTGGGTTGTATTCCCAAGACAAATGTAATCTTACGATAACGGAATGTGCAGGAGTTTCTGGAGTAACGTTTTGGTAGCGCGTTTTGTACTGGAACTTGTCAATTTATAAATACTTAGGACGGGTATCGTTGTAATTGGCGAGAGTAAAATCTAACCTGAGCGGTGGGTAGAGTTTTATTTGGTGTTCAATATTATCGCTAGGGACACGAAAACTAAACAAATACACGAGGGTCTGTGTTTATGGAAACACTTGGGTCTTCAGAAATCTATACCAGCGTCTGTAGAGTACAGTTGTTGTGAGGCTCTTTGCTGCTCTACATGGAAGATATGTGATCGATTCCCGTGATGAGATTTTTTTTTACATTAATTAAAATCGATCATTTTACACCTTCATCTACACAATTTAGATTATACAGGAAACGAGCCTCAACCAAGCTTTTTAAAGCCAACTCAGGCTGAGAGGGAGTTAATTAATATCCGAACATACAGGCTGAGATGCCGGGATAAACATTCTCCCCATTTGTAAATAGAACTCAAGTCTCCTGCGTGAGACAGCGAAGATTCTAACTGCTACACACCCTGCCTGATGGAATATCCTATTCCAATATGCACCGGATTTGTCCCTGACTGGCACTGTCAAAGCAGCCAGCCTCTTAAAAGAATAACATTTGGTCAGTGGTAGTCTAGCAAAGTTTGCAATCAATAAACCAAAGATAAATATCGCGTCATTTGTCCTGCTCCAATGCCTGTCAATTTCCAATAAAGACACATTCTTGGACCAGCACCGATACGTTCATGGAAGGTAATTACATCATATTGTGAGACTGGTCCACTACTTTTTTATTTCATTGAACAATTCCATCCACAACACTGATGATGACGAATGTCCCAGAGGTAGTGATAATAACATTGTTGATAACTGTGTTGAGTAGGGGGGGGGGCATAGTAATATTGCCAGCAATACCAGGAGCGAAGGAAAAAGCAGTAGTATCACCACGTGTATCGACGTGTGAGTTGTGTGTACTGTGTGCACTCCCCGACTCTCCGACTCTGAAAAACAAGTGTGGCGCCTGTGGCCTAGTGGTTAGGCTCTCAGACTCGCAACTGTAAGGTCGTGGGTTCGAATCCCGTCAGGGACCCGACGTTCTGTTCTTGGGAAACGCACTTTGCACAAATTTTTCTCACTTCACCCAGGTGGGAATGGATACCCGGCTATGGACAGCGAAAGATCTTGTCAGTTTGTTAGTGTTTGAGCGGTTAATCAGCTGCTGGCACTGAATGCTTCCCGGGAAGCTGAGAATGTTTCGGAGTGTTCTATGGTCTGCTGGGGTAATAATAGAGTGTAAAGCGCATAGTCTGCTGTTTAGCGGGGATATGCGCTATACGAATTCTATTTATTATTATTATTATTATTATTATTATTATTATTATTATTATTATTATTATTATTATGATTATGATTATTATTATTATTATTATTATTATAATAAATCAAAGTCAAAGTCTTGAATCACGGACGTTCAGAGGTCAACATCTTATTCACCTGTAGTTGAGCTAGTTTCTCCTCGATTTTATTCACACGTTTCTCCATAGTAGACTGATTGCCGTGCATTTCGATGACCAGCTCCTGGATATTGGACTGCGTCTGTGAATAAGAACAAAATACGTCTTAAAGAAAGTTCAGATAAAATATAAACAACAAGAAGAAAAAACTGTCTGTTGTTTGCTTCCTTCAATAACATGGATTCTCTAACGTTTTAGGATTGTTGATTGCAGTGCGGAATTTAAGGGCTTGAACAGCTTTCTGGAAATGATAGACTAGAGACCGATCATTTACGGCGTAGTGGCTGTGTGCTTGTGTGTCATGAATATGGGTGGAGGCTCATAGATTACAGGAGCTATGTCTAGTTACACGTTATCAGGACGAGCAGAAACCCTTATTTGATCGTTGAATCAGAGATTTCGTAGGAAATCGCAGGCGTGGAGAGACATTACCCTTTACTTTTGGAACTAGCAGAAATGAAATATTTGAAAACTGAGGGTCCGTGGGTGAAAACAGGGGAGAGTGTGTAGGAAAAAAATTAGAAAGACAAATAAAACAGACTGGGATGCGTATGATAGGGAGGAAGATATTTTGAAACAAGCTGAAATACTGGAGGGCGTAAGAGACGATATTATATTGTTGGGCGTCAAACAGGTACAGTTGTGGAAGGTGTATATTATATTCAAAAGGGGTTTTGACGAGCCAAAAAAACAAACAAAAAACAGCACAAATAAATCGTACATGCTGGACAAATTGTAGTTGCTTGATACAGTAGGACAGTTTTTTTTAAATACAATGTTCATGATTTGCTCATGCAATGTTCTTTTTTTGTTGTTTCTTTTTTTTCATACGTCACATTTTTTGGTAAAAACATCCTGAAAAACAATTTATTTTTCAAAAAATTATGGCACAGTTCCTTAATGCCTACCATTGTTATCTGCGGTACCTTTCTTGCAGTAAGAATGCAGAAAACTAATTTTTCACATTCAATATAACAAAAGGTACTGGCAGAGGTAAACAGAGAGCTCCGACAATCAGGAAGGGGTATGGATGAACATCATAGTGGGTGGGAAAACTGATAGTGGTGGTGTGTGGAGGATCTTTCCGTAGGCATGACAGAAAATATATAATTAGTATTATAATGCCCTGATTTGGATGCAAAGGTGGTTAGTAATTAACCTGTGTTGAGAAGATGCACTCGGTTATTTTCAGCCATATGGCAAGAAATCTCTGATTAGGAAGATTTTAGAAGACAATATGTGGTAGCAGGTGTTTGTGTATGTGTATTAGAGAGAGAGAGAGAGATAGAGAGAGAGAGAGAGAGATAGAGAGAGAGAGAGAGACAGAGAGAGACAGAGAGAGAGAAAGAGAGAGAGAGGGGGGCAGGGGAGAGAGCTAGAGAAAAGGAAAGAGAGAGAGAGAGAGAGAGAGAGAGAGAGAGAGAGAGAGAGAGAGAGAGAGAGAAAGAGGGATGGAGACTGAAAAGTAGAGAAAGAGATAGATAGATAGATAGTTAGATAGAGAGATAGATAGATAGATAGATAGATAGATAGATAGATAGATAGATAGATAGATAAATAGATTATAGACACACTTACACACACATAAACAGAAAGAGACATACAGAGAAAAATCAGAGACAGAGAGAATGGAGTGAGATAAATTGACAGGATCAAGTTTAGTGAAGTGTCTGTAGCACACACACAATCTATAAAACAAATCACCAAAGCACAGTTTGAGACGTCTGTATTGAGCTGCTTATACTCTAAAAAGTGCATCTAAAGCAAGTGTAAGAAAAAGAGGAGACAGAGAAGAGACAATAGATGAAAGTAGATTCTACACGTATATTTATGTATACTTAAATGTTGGTTTTCATGAGCAGTATTAAATATTTACAAGACTTGCACCAGCAGCATGCTTTCATTGCCCTTCAATGCCCCTCCCCTCCCTCCCGCACTACCCACACACATCCGTCCTCCCCCCCCCCCCCGGAAAATAAACCCAGTGAAAGAAGTGCGTTTGCGGTACACGATGAAAATGTCCGGTAATGGAAGAACAGGTGGCAATAACAGACAATGGTGTAAATCACAGTACTCTTAATCGTCAAAGATACCACCCTGCTAAATACACACGAGACACCAATTTTTTGCCCCCAGCTGTAACATCGACAAACATTTCTCCAACATTATTTTTGAGCGCAATCAAAACAGCAAAATGTGGATAACATACTGATATCCTCTTACAAAAGGTGAGCCTAAGACGTACATAAACGAAATCCTCCCTTAAAAAACAAAATAGTACTGAAAATCTTTTTGTCAGTTCCGTGAATGGAACCAAGGAACTTTTGTTCGTGGATGACATTTTGGAAGAAATGATGAATGTGAAGCGTGCTGGCAAAATGTGTTACTTCTCGGATTCAAGGTCTATTGAAATAGATACACCACACCTATAGGTGAAGTTTTTACAATTTATAAGTATGAAATAATAAAAGATATGGTATACTTAAAGAAAATGACATAAATAGAAAATCTATTTGACTCCTAACAAGTGTAGATTTCTGGCCAATATCTCCACTTGTGGATTGCGAGAATAAACGAATTTTGTCAGCACATTTGACAAATATATTGTGTCGTTCTTTCTTTTGGAGAATAAAAAGTGGACCTAAAGTGGACACAGGCTTAAACAGGCAGCAGCTGTCCACTAGCCGGGGGGGGGGGGGTGGGTGGGAGGGAGGAGGACGGGGGAGGAAGTTACATCACTGGTAGGGTACATCTCTTCTATTACAAAATTCTGTTCTTTACTGACTGATCGGTCTATTGTCCAGCAGAAACATTACAAAACGCCAGCAGCCCCCTTGCCACCCCCACCACCCTCTTTTTGTTCCTTTTTCTCTATGTGGCTTATGTGCCCTTAGTACATCTTCATACTACAAAAATATTGAAATAAAAATACAATAAACGAGTAATAACATTTTTAAAATGGACCAGATTAAGACAAAAAAATACGTTCATATCCTTGAACAATCGAACAAGTTGGAATTGTTTCGTAGACATCCTCAATGTGAACGTAATGAAGTTAGAGTTTTGAAACAATCGCCAGAACGACAGCCCAACAATAGATGACGTCTTTGCTGTGTGCGTCATACGTGGCAGATATGTGGGTGAAATAATAAGCGCTCCTCTTAATGACGAAATCAATACAAAGACCCCCACACACTCAGCTGAAGCACCGAGAGTGCTCACTGGTCCAAAAAGAAATAACTGTATTGTTCAGCCAGTTTTGTTTTTCGTGGCAACGACATTGTTTTGTGGGATTTTCTGTTTTGTTTTTGATTTTTCAATTGTTTCGCTGAAGTGTCATGCACAGACAACTTCGTCAAATCAGATTCACGGAACAATCACACATTATTGTCATAAACTGTCTGTTCTTTGTTCTCTTCGTATAGTCTGTGTTGATTGTAAGAGAGAGAGAGAGAGAGAGAGAGAGAGAGAGAGAGAGAGAGAGAGAGAGAGAGAGAGAGCTGGTTGTTGC